ACCAGACGGCTTCTCTGGAGAATTCTACCAAACATTCAAAGAAGACTTAATACCTATTCTCCTCAAACTGTTCCAGAAAATTGAGAAAGATGGAGAACTTCCTAACACATTCTATGAAGCCAACATCACTCTGATCCCCAAACCTGACAAGGACAACACAAAGAAGGAGAACTACAGGCCGATATCACTGATGAACATAGATGCAAAAATTCTCAACAAAATTTTGGCAAACTGAATACAGCAATACATCAAAAAGATTATACACCATGATCAAGTGGGATTTATACCAGGGACACAGAGATGGTTCAACATCCGCAAGTCAATCAACGTGATACACTACATCAACAAAATGAAAAACAAAAACCACATGATCATCTCAATAGATGCAGAGAAAGCATTCGACAAGATCCAACACCCATTTATGATAAAAACCCTCAGTAAAATGGGTATAGAAGGAAAGTACCTCAACATAATAAAGGCCATATATGATAGACCCACAGCCAACATCATACTCAATGGACAAAAACTGAAAGCCATCCCTCTGAGGACAGGAACAAGACAAGGGTGCCCACTTTCACCACTCCTATTCAACATAGTACTGGAGGTGCTGGCCAGAGCAATTCGGCAGGAAAAAGAAATAAAAGGAATCCAAATAGGTAACGAAGAAGTAAAACTCTCGTTGTTTGCAGACGACATGATCTTATATATAGAAAACCCCAAAGAATCCACAGAAAAACTATTAGAAATAATCAACAACTACAGCAAAGTAGCAGGGTATAAAATTAACGTGCATAAATCAGTAGCATTTCTATACACTAACAATGAACTAACAGAAAAAGAACTCAAGAACTCAATCCCATTCACAATCGCAACGAAAAGAATAAAATACCTTGGGATAAACTTAACCAAGGAAGTGAAGGATCTATACAATGAAAACTACAAGACTTTCTTGAAAGAAATTGACGATGACATAAAGAGATGGAAAGACATTCCTTGCACATGGATTGGAAGAATAAACATAGTTAAAATGTCCATACTACCTAAAGCAATATACAGATTCAATGCTATCCCAATCAGAATCCCAAGAACATTCTTCACAGAAATTGAACAAACAATCCTAAAATTTATATGGGGCAACAAAAGACCGCGAATTGCTAAAGCAATCCTGAGCAAGAAAAACAAAGCCGGTGGAATCACAATCCCCGATTTCAAAACATACTACAAAGCTACAGTGATCAAAACAGCATGGTACTGGTACAAAAACAGGTCCACAGATCAATGGAACAGAATTGAAAGCCCAGAGATAAAACCACACATCTATGGACAGCTAATCTTCGACAAAGGAGCAGAGGGCCTACAATGGAGAAAAGAAAGTCTCTTCAACAAATGGTGCTGGGAAAACTGGACAGCTACATGCAAAAGATTGAAAATTAACCATTCTTTTTCACCACACACCAAAATAAACTCAAAATGGATCAAAGACCTAAAGATTAGGCCTGAGACAATAAGTCTTTTGGAAGAGAATATAGGCAGTACACTCTTTGACATCAGTTTCAAAAGAATCTTTTCGGACACTGTAACTCCTCAGTTGAGGGAAACAATAGAAAGAATAAACAAATGGGACTTCATCAGACTAAAGAGCTTCTTCAAGGCAAGGGAAAACAGGATTGAAACAAAAAAACAGCTCACTAATTGGGAAAAAATATTTACAAGCCACTTATCCGACAAAGGGTTAATCTCCATAATATACAAAGAACTCACACTGCTTAACAACAAAAAAACAAACAACCCGATCAAAAAATGGGCAGAGGACAAGAACAGACATTTCTCAAAAGAAGATATGAATATGGCCAATAGACACATGAAAAGATGTTCATCATCGCTAATCATCAGGGAAATGCAAATCAAAACTACACTAAGATATCACCTTACACCCGTTAGATTGGCAAAAACATCCAAAACCAAGACCGACAAATGTTGGAGAGGTTGTGGAGAAAAAGGAACCCTCATACACTGTTGGTGGGAATGCAAACTGGTACAGCCACTATGGAAAACAGTATGGAGATTTCTCAAAAAGTTAAAAATAGAAATACCCTATGACCCAGCCATCCCATTACTGGGTATCTATCCTAAGAACCTGATATCAGAAATCTCAAGAGTCCGTTGCACCCCTATGTTCATCACAGCATTATTTACAATAGCCAAGACGTGGAACCAGCCTACATGCCCAGAAACTGATGATTGGATAAAGAAGATGTGGTATATATACACAATGGAATACTACTCAGCCATAAAAAAAGACAAAATCGGCCCATTCACAACAACGTGGATGGACCTCGAGGGTATTATGTTAAGCGAAATAAGCCAGTCAGAGAAAGACGAACTCTATATGACTCCACTCATAGGTGGAAATTAGCATATTGATAAGGAGATCTGATCGGTGGTTACCAGGGAAAAGGGGGGGTGGGGGGAGGGCACAGAGGGGGAAGTGGTGTACCCACAACATGACTAACAAAAATGTACAACTGAAATCTCACAAGGTTGTAATCTATCATAACATTAATAAAAAAAAAAAAAAAAAAAGTACTAATCAGGGGCAAGCCCTGTGGCCAAGTGGTTAAGTTTGCGCGCTCCGCTGCAGGCGGCCCAGTGTTTCGTTGGTTTGAATCCTGGGCGCGGACATGGTACTGCTCATCAAGCCACGCTGAGGCGGCGTCCCACATGCCACAACTAAGAATATACAACTATGTACTGGGGGGTTTGGGGAGAAAAAGGAAAAAAATAAAATCTAAAAAAAAAAGTACTAATCAAAAAGGAAAAGATTGATAAGTTGTACCATGTTAAAATTATAAACTTTTTTTCATCAAAAGGTGCTTTAAGAGAATGAAAGGGCAAGTCACCTAGTGGAGAAAATATTTGCAACACATGTAACTCACAATCTGTAATAATTTCTTCAAATTAAAAGAAAAAAAAAGTTAACCAGTTAAAAATGCTCATGTCACAAAAGAATAAATCTAAAATGGCCACTCAACACATAAAAATGTGATCCATATCATTATTATTGAGCAATATGTGAGCTATAATCACAGTGAGATTCTACTATACACCCATTAGAGTGCCCATACGAAGAAGACTGATAATAGCAAGAGTTGGTGAGAATGCAGAACAATGGGAGCTCTCTTAGACCATGCTGTGACACAATCACTTAGGAAAACAGTTTGGCATTGTCTACTGAAGTGACAATATGTGTACCTTAGGACTCTGAAATTCTAATCCTCGGAATGCAGTTGACAGAAATGCATGCAAATATACACTAAGGCATATACAACAATGTTCACAGTAGCAATTTCCAAAATACTGCCCAACTGGAAAGAATTCATACTTGTCTACTAGAAGTAGAATGGCTAAATCAATTACGGCATATTCATATATAAGCATATCTGCAGAGAGATTGCAGGTTTGGTTCCAGGCCACTGCAATAAAGTGAATATTGAATAAAGTGAGTCACACGAATTTTTTGGTTTCCTAGTGCATATAAAAGTTATGTTTACACTATACTGTAGTCTATTAAGTGTGCAATATTATGTCTAAAAAATGTACATACCTTAATTAAAAAATATTGCTAAAACATGCTAACCATCATGGGAGCCTTCAATGAGTTGTAATTTTTTTGCCGTGGAGGGTCTTGTGAAAAACACAGTATATGTGAATTGCAAGAAAGCTAAGAGTAATAAAAGGAGGTATGCCTGTACTGGAATACTACACAGCCATGAAAATGAATGGACTACATTTACATTCCACAACATAGATGAATCTCACAAATATAACATTGACTAAAAGAAACAAGATCCCTGAAATTACACACTACATGGTTCTATTTACATAAAGTTCTCCAAACCTATCTATAAGAGGTGAAATCTAACTATAGTGTTTAGGGATGCATGTAAGTGGTAAAACTATAAAGAAAATCAAGGAAGTGTTTACCATAGAAGTTATGAGGATGCTTATCTTTGGGGAGGAGAGTGGGGATAGTAGCGACTGGGAAAGAACATGAGGAGGCTTCTAGGGTGCTGACAATGTTCTGTTCTTATCTGTAGGGGTGGTTACAAAGATAGTCATTTTCTGATAACTTATTGAGCTGAGTCTACTGATTTGTATCCTTTTCTGTATATGTATTATATTTAAAAGTAAAGAAAGTTAAAAAAAGTGAAAGGAGGCATATCTGCAGATGAATCAAAATGGAAGAAACAGCAGCTCAGAACCTGAATACCAAGAGTTCACAGGGAAGTTTTTAAAAATTGTTCTGTTCCCAGAATCATCTCTATTTTGTCCAGGGTCAGTCACTGTTTGTCTTGGCATTATCTTTCAGCCTGTTGGTTTTCTTCATGTCAGGCATCCTCAGAGAGATACTATCTAAAGTCAATGGCACAAAAATGTGTTTAATTATATAAAGTTTAAAAGGTAATTGATAAAAAGTTAAACATAAAATTGAAAGCATTTGAAGAAGTAAGGGAGAGGGGAGGGGAAATTGACATAATGCACATCCTTTCATAGAGGGGCAGAGTAGATATTGTCTAAAATGATAAACCAAGAAGGGAGAAGCAAATTATTCAGAGATGTGAGAGAAACCATTAAAAGAATTAGAATTATAAAAACTGAAAAAAAGGTGGTTTCTGGGGGGAGAGACTAAGGTAGGGACATGGAGAAGAAGATTGCTTTCCACTATAAACCCTCTGGACTGTTTGATTTTATTTTGTTTTTACCATACGCATATTACTTTGATAGATTTAATGATACATTTATGAGATTCCAGGTTGCATCATTCTCATTTACTTGATTTAAGAATTGTTTTTTAAGTTTGTGGCATTATGACTACCCCAAGAATAATATCCATACTGTCTTACCTACGCTGTAGCTGATAGTGAAAACCATTTGTAAAGTACTGTTAGGAGATACAGCTGTGACAATATTGCAAAGCTTCTGAATCATGAATTTTATAATTACCTTTATTTCCTTTTAAATTTTATTTATGGATACATTTTAATTAGAAACAAGGCAGGTATACAATTACACTACACAAGGACAAGTGGGAAGTTATGAGCATTTCTACTCAACAGTTTGAAAAGCAGCTAATATCAAATGAAAAGTAGATGAATCAACGATAAAAGGGAAATTTCTAAAAACACTTACATTAGTAATAATATTAAAAATCTGTATATTCTAGACATTATTTTTTAAACAATAAAATAAAGTCCATTTGTGCTTCTTCTGCTCTACCTGCATACATCATAAACGTTACCTTTGGGGAGAAGATCTGGGCAACATCAAGACGTTTTAACAATGTAAAGCTTAACTATTGAATAATTGGCTCTATCTATTTCTTGTAAAATTACAATTTTTGAGGTCCTTAAAAACCTCACTTCATTATTTATGTTTGTAAAATGCTTATTAGAACTCTCCCCTTAAAAACTCTAACAATTTTTTTTCTATTTCCTCAAGCTTATTTTTCTTGAAACCTGGGTACTCCCATGTGTATTATCTGCCAAGTATTTTAAAGTAATAAAAATGTTCAGAACATTTGTTCTAGAGAAAGGGTTGTGTATGGTTTTGTATATCAGACGGCGATTTCATATATTGTTTTACATATTGTTTTTTTAGCTGTTCAAAAGAAGTTTGTTGTACTGAATTATATCGAGTATTATAAGATATGGTAGAACATCATTCGAACAGGACTAGCTCAACCTTGAGTGAAAAATCAGAGCTTATGGTATAAGAAAAGTGATTAATCATGTAAACATTTCATTGAAAGTAACTTCTATGTCAGCTATGTTTGTGTAACTAAGTGAAGTCTCTCCATTCGCTCAAAAGTAGGCATTTACTGGACGTCCACTCGGTGCCAGGCACGTGTTCTGCTCTGCACACAAGGTGGACGAGACACCATCCTTCCCCGCGGCTATTCACAGCCTGCTAGAGACGGTGACCAGAGAATGGAAAGTTACAATACGATGTGACAGGGACTTTGACAGGTCCAAATTTTCTTTCCCTCTCACTCCTTTCTTTTTACTGCTAAGGTGATGGGGGTGTCTTGGCAAGGTGGCATAAAGAGGCAAAGGCTTTATCAGCATAATAATTAGCAAGAGAGGGTTTCATTTGTCTTGCAGAAAGAATCTGAAAGACTTAGGCCTCTCTGCCTAAACACAAAAAATTATCCTCGTCTATGATACCTTGGGTACACTCCTCCAGGATGTGGGTACTCAGCAATGGAGCCCTGGCCCTGAGGAGAGGTGGGCAGGATAGAGACGAGCGAAAGGGAAGGGGATGCAGTGGAGAGGCTAGGAGGAAAGGGACTCTTGGATTTTCACAGGGGTAGATTCTGCACGAATTGACTTGGTGGGAGAAATAAAGAAATATTGTCAGCATTTGCGATTGGCTTATGGTGAGATTGTTTGTTATCCTCTTAAATGTTAGGGGCATGAATGACAAGTTATTACCGTAGTGGAAGTGTGCTCAGTGTCCCACAGGGACCCATGGGATGAGAAAAGGAAGAATTGTCCAGCTCAGGCTGCACAGCAGATGTGGGGTGGGGGTGGGGTGATGGAGGCATGAGAAAATGATTAGGAATCTGAACATTGTTCGGCAAGGCGCGGGCACAGACCACGCGTCCAAAGAAGCTAACTCTGCTGCAGTGCTTTCTTTATATGACAATCAGTCAATTACCATGATTGTTCTTACCCTCAACAGACTTGGGGGGCAGGAAGTACAGCTCAGTGGTGAGCAAAAGATGCTCCTTTTGAGGATGAGGAAAAAAAGAAAGAGTGGGCTGAGTTGTCTTCCTCAGGGATCGAGTCCACTGGTGACAGAGATTTGTAATATTCATCTTCCCCATCAAGCACTTTGATTTGGCTGCAACAAAGAAAAGAGTTTTCAGCAGAAAAAGAAAAAAAATGCCATAGTCATCATGGGGGAAACTAAAGTTGTGTACTTAGAACAGGATTGGGTCCCAACACTGCAGGGAAGGACAGCTTAGAGTAGCTTAGGGCCTCCCAGCACAGAGGAACTGGGGTCTGACCCCCAAAGCCTTTCACCTCTGGGTCACACACTGATAACGGGCTCAGTTTAGTGGTGTGTGGAAGTTGTGATCATATTGCAAGTTGATTTATGTGAATTAACTTCTCTGGTTCCCTCTAGATGAGAAAGTCTCCATTCTGACCTCCTCCAGTTCTCAAACCAGTACCAATTACCTACCTCATTGCTGTTCTCAATTGAGATGCTAACAATCAAATGAGCCACAAACTTCTTAGTGTCCTTTATCTTAGCATTGGGGGAAATTTTCCTTTGTGTACCTTTAAGGCCCAGGGGTCAGATAATATGGGGAAGTGACCTATTTGCACCGTGTGGAGTGCTCTTGTTTGTGGGAGAGTTTACTTCAACCTACTACATGCCTCCAATTATGAGCAAAGTACAATTCCTCGGGACAATTATGAGAAATAACATTTGCCTTTAGGTGACAATATCAGCCTTTGTGGACAGAATAGATTCAAGCTTTGTACACCTTCTACTGTGAAAAGTGGTTTCCAATGTCAATAATAGCGGCAATAGCCCCATTGCATATTTTCAGAAGCCTCTCTGGAAAGTTTTGCATTTTCTGTGATATCACAAAGGACCCCTTCTGTTTACAGTTGCTTAGAACTAAGAAGATAGATATTTACCCAAGTTTTCTTGGCTTCCTCTTGCTCCCTTGATATTCTAGAGTTCCCTGTGGAGAGGGCCAAGAACACACAGTCAAAGCAAAGCAGCAAGTCGTTAATTTTTAATTCAAAGTGATTTTGTGTTGAATGCAAGCAGATGCTGATAATATCAGAAGTCACAGCATAATTTTTTTGATCAAAGGGCTCAAGTGAGCCTGATGAAGCATGCATCTTGCTCGTCTTTGATAAACCACATCAATTATTCACCGTGAAGGCAGACATCCTGACATGAAAGCAACAGATAAAGAGCCTAAGCACATGTTCAAGACGAGAGTATAAGAGAGAGGGGGTGGGGCTGGAGGGGCTGGAACAGGTATTAATAACAGAATTATTAACTGGAAACAAAGCCAGTGAAACAGCTTTATGGCCACTTTGAACTCACATTTAACTGGTTATAGTACATGGTGTCCTCAGGGCTACTCAACATTTTGGGCTGCTGACATCTTCTGTGAGGTGTTCGCTGCTTCTGTGCAAGACCATTTTCTGAACCTGCAACAAGATAGCAAAAGTTTACTGTAAATCATCTGAGGTCTTGAGAAAAGTAAGTGAAAAACTGCTCTTCATATAAATGCACTTAGTAGAAATTATGTCCCATTTTAATGGGCATGTTAGAGCCTTGCAAATATTAGAAATATCATCCTGAAAAACCAAACACATAGGGATTGCTAAGTGTAAACAAGGGCTACTGCCTGTAATTTTGCCTTCATCTTTCTTATCTGAATCAGCAGTCAAGAGCGACAGCAAGCAAACTGGTTTGTCCATGCTGATGAAGTAGAGGTTGGTGATCAGCCTTTGTAGCGTAGAGACCGCCCTCTTAGTGAGATAACTCAGTTAGGACAATAAAGGCAATCTGGGATAGTTGGCACCACATCCCACAGCGAGAGTTCAAAAACATCTGGAGCACACACACTGTTGGGTAGCTGAGAAGCAAACCTTTTGGTGGGATACATTTTGGAGGGAAAATGGCTTGAGCTAGTATACATTGAAATGCTTTGAACAATGCCATTGATCCATGCAATCTCTGGAGGAAGTGTAAAGGAGAAGGGGAAAGGATGATTGCAGGGTTTCATGGAGCAGCCTCTTCATGTTAGTCCTGATTTCAGAACTCTGGACCAAGAGTACACTGGAGATTAAGAAACCACGTGTCCAACGAAGTCATGATTTATTTCCCTTCCAAGCAGATAATTTTCATGGAATCTGCTGTCCTTTTGGTACTACATCTGAATCATGATTCAGTAATTCTAACTTCTTGCCAACACACACACACACACACACTTATACATATACAAAGCTGCCATAGACCATTGTTCATGAATGTCACTGTTTATGAATGTCATAGTCTAGAGAAGAGATACCACTTTCCTGGACCAAGTATACATCATAAAGTAATTATTTAAAAAAAGAGTTGGAAATTTGTACTTGGAATCAGTTTCACTTCACTAGAGATTCCTACTATTTAAGAAAATTCTGGGGAAATTTTCTAAGTGAAGAATGACTCAGCAAGGACCATTATAAATAGCTAATTATCAGTTTCCTAAGTATGAAGTTTTGCATCTTTACTTTTCTTGAATTGGAACATATTTACATTTAAACAAGACTATTAGAACCATATAGGACTTTAGGAACTGTCCATTCTAAATACTCATTTTTTCAGAAAAGGAGACGTAGGCCCACAAATGTTGAATGACTCACCCCAGATCAAGTGGCAGAGTGGAGGCCCACCCCTAGATCTTTTACCCCCTGTTCTAGCAGTTTTTTCTTTTTAAACTACAGCATGTCTTTCTTAACGAGAAACTTCTTTTAAAGTCAAAGGTCTAAGTAAAAATAAGCTCCATGAAAAAATATTAATTAGCATAGCAAAACGATGCTGCTTGCAGAGGGTTCCAGTAGCCTTAGCAGACATCCCTGTCCACATCTTCAGGAACTCGGTGCAGAGCACAGGACTCCAGCCTCTTGTGCTGGCACCATCCTCAGAGCACAAGGAACCCAAAATTGAAATGGGTTCCTTCTGATAGTTCCAACATACCCACCTCCTGTTTACTTTGCGAAGTTCATATTCTGTAATATGTTAGGTTGTGGGGCCCTTTTGTGTTATCTCTTCTGATTTATAGACTAATGAGCAGAAGACTCTAGAGTTAAAGTTGCTGGTGTGAACATGCACTGGAGATCTGACATCTACTCTCCCTTAGACTTTCTACTATTAGAGGAATTCCAACCTTGGCAACTCAAAAGACTGATCTTAAATAGTTTTGGGGTTCAGCTGGAATTCAGCCGAGTTCAGCCGGACTTTATGGAGTATTTACAATTGATCAGAAGCTTTTATCTATATTCTCAACTGGGAACGCTTAACATAAGATGTGGTTCCTCAACTTTTGCTCTTGATGAACTTGCTGTTCCGTGGGTGGGTGTTCTTCTCCTGATTCTCAGAAGGATTTAAGTTATTGGATAGAGTTTTCTCAATTTGAAAATTTCTCCCATAAATTAAAAAAAACCCAAACAACTGTTGGTATCTGATGGCATTTATACTATGCTAGAATCCAGAGTAAGGTGATGTCTGATTTAGCATCGAATTTTAATTTGCATTATTTTAACTTTAATATTTCCATATTTCATGATGTTTTGCAAAGAGTGCCACAACTTCCAGGTGCTTTGTCATTGGAACAAATCTGAGTATCATTAATATATCATCACTCATAAGCAACTAAATAAATAATTGGGAAATAAATCATTATTGAATAAATGCTGTTGGAACAATTTGATAGCAATATGCAAAAAATATAACTTAAATACAGACCTTATAACATTTATCCTATATGTGACATACTTTGCTAGATATTGTGGGGAACACAAAGAGAAATAAGACAAGGTCCCTGCCTTCAGTCTTGTAGTGGACACTGAGTCTTAAGGCCATAAGCTAGTGCTGCTGGACTCAAATTAGTTTTTAAAAAAATTCTAAATCTTTTACTTTTCTCAATATACTTTTTGATTCTTATAGGCTACAACAAATTCCAGATGAACTATATAGTTAAGCAGTTTAAACAGTCCCATAAAAACCTCAGAAGGAAATGAAAATAGACTATCTTAACTATGGAAGAAGATATTAGTGACAAGGATGGGTTCAATTATATCACAGTAAAATATTCTATACGATGGACAGTAACAAAACTAAGATGCTAACAAAACTAAATGCAACAGAAAGGTTAAAAATAAATTAAAAAAATACACACACAGAAGTCTACTATCCATAATGTGGAAAGGCTGAGGCAAGAGAGAGACGGAAAAATATTCATATATGTTGAAATACAATTATGAAATATTGAAAAATGTTCAGCTACCCTGACAAAGCTTCAATTAAAACAACTACTACTGCCTTTCTATTAATTAGGATAAATCAAAAGGTCAAAAGACAATGTGGGAGTGGCCCCAGGTACACAGATGAGTCCATAGGCTCTACCTCTCCTGAAGCACAACTTGACAATAAATAACAAAAGCTAAGCAACTTGTTCCAAGGAACATGTCTCAGTGAAGTAAACCAAGAGAAAAAAAAAGCCAACTTGTATGAAGATAGATATGATAACACTTCTGTAGTAGAAAAAAGCTAGAAAGATGATAAATATTTAATAATTGGAGAGATGTTAACGCTGAGATATAAATATGATGTCATACCAGGAAGATACCAATAAGGATAAATATAGGTATAGCATTGATGGATGAAAATTCAAAATTCAGAAAAAGCAGCAAAATACAAAACAGCACACAGCACATTGATTAAATCTAAATATGTATGTGATGCGGGCTTGGCAAGCTGTGGAGTGGAAAGAAAGATTTCTTGGACTCTCAAGGTCTGGTAGTAGTGCTCCTTTTATTCAGAGAATAGCATGGGGACAGGGCCCTGGGCAGTGAAGGGCTGCAGGCATGGGGACAGGACCCATGGTCAGTGAAAAGCTGCAGGCATGGGGACAGGATCCATGGTCAGTGAAAAGCTGCAGGCATGGGGACAGGATCCATGGTCAGTGAAAAGCTGCAGCATGGGGACAGGACCCATGGGCAGCGAAGAGCTGCAATGTGTTGAGGGCAGGGCTAAATTTATAAGGTATGGGTATGTGACTTATTTCTACTAGACAAAGGAAGGATGATGTAAAAAGTCATCAAACTGGTATCAGTGTAGGTGGGGTTTGGTTATTGTGTGGTTGTATAACTTTAGATATGAATTGGGTCATATAGATCAGCATGTAGGCCAGGACGCCTTGGGCTTCTCTCCCTGGAGCAGCCCTGATCCACATCATACGTACAATGAGAAGTTTATCATGATTTTCTCCTAAAAATTTAAAAATAAAAAAATTCAATGAGGCATATAGGACAAAAATTATTTTTTCTTTCAATAGATGAAGAAACCATAGCTAAGACAGGCTAAACCTGTAAGCAGCAGAGTAGAAGCTTGAGCATCTATCTTTTGGCTTTTGAGCCAATCAATTTCCTCATAAGATGCAAAACAGTGGGGTTATCTGGCAATTACCTAGTTCATTTGACTAGTTTATGTAGATAAACTAGGCAATTTAAGTTTGAAGACATACATTAGAATATGAATTATTTACTTTGAAGACAGTGATGTTCATATTCTGAATGTGGCCGATTTCCACTTCACATAAATGTTTGTAAGCCAAGCCAAAGTCTCCAGTTTGTAATACTCTGGGGGCTCCCTCCCTAGAGTGCTTTTAAAAAGTGTATTATGTCGTGAATACCAGTTTGCCTTTAACATAGGTGTCTTTCCTTTTCAAGAATCCCTGCACTTTTTCTTTTGGCCCCTGCACCTTTTGATTTCATATTTGAGATCTTGAACACATCCTTCTCTTTCAAGTTGTCACAGAGCTTTATAATAAACTGGAGATAAATCTGTCAGAAAACAGAAGAAATGTGGGGGAAGTCTCAGGAACACCAGGAAATGCACACACCTTACTCTCAAAGCCCAAATCACCACATGGTGTGACTACACGACTGGCTAAGCCCTTGGTGAGAGTCAAAAAATTGACTTCAGTTGATGGCTTCAATACGTGACTTCAAACAATTGGTTTGGAAATTTAATATTTCAATTCTCTTTATTGAACATGCAGGTATATCCAAACTAGAGTTGCCAGATCAAATACAGGCCACCCAGTTAAATTTGAGTTTCAGATAAGCAACCAATACTTTTTTAGTTAAGTATATCTTGTGCAATATTCAGGTCATACTTATATTAAAAAGTGATTGGTTGTTTATCTGAAATTCAAATCTAGTCAGGTGTCCTTTTTTTTTTTTTGCTAAATCTGGCAATCCTGATTCAAGCGCAATTTTACATCACAAATGAAGCTTTTTGTTCTCTCCCAGGGTCTCAGAGATGAAGAGGAAAATGACTTCCTCTATTCTATTTGAGTTGCTGAGTTATAGTTATTTTGGCCACAAGTGCTCTTTCCTAATACTGTCTCCTAAAACCTAGTGCTTCACTTTTCATC